TTGAGTTTAAATTGAATAAATTTGACTTCGGTCAACATCTTGGGTAAATGGACCTAGACCCGTGATTTGACGGTCCTGGAAGGTCCGTAGAAAAATATGGGACTTGGCGCATGCCCGAAATCGAATTCCGAGATCCCAAGCCCGAGAAATGAATTTTTAAGTAAAATGGTTTTCTGAAAATGTTTAAGGAATTTTGAAATGAAATCTGATTAGAAAGCGATGATATTGGGGATTTTGGCCTGAAGATGATATTGTTTAAGGTAAACTGTATTTTTGAGGTTATTTTGGCGATTTGATCGCACGGATAAGTTCGTATGAAGTTGTTGAGTCAGTATGTGTGTTTGGTTAGGAGCCCCGAAGGCTCAGGTGTGATTCAAATGTGTTTCGAAGGGTTTCGGACTTAGAAAATGTTGCAGGTTTCTCAGCTGTTAGGTTGCTGGTACTTCCTTCTTCGCGTTCGCGGGAGTACCCACGCGAACGGGATGGGTTAATTGTTGTTGAAAGAATTTCCTTCTACGCAAATGCGTATCTCAGGTCACGAACGCGAGGCACTGGGGGGGATATCCCTTCGCGAACGCGGTCTTGGCCACGCGAACGCGAAGGTCAATCGAGCCTAGGCGTGGGTAGGGCATTTACCTTACGCGAACGCGATCCCTTGGACGCGAACGCGAGGACTCGAGGAGATTACTCTCCGCGAACGCGAGCCCGTGTACGCAAACGTGAAGGCTTATCCATCCTGACCATCGCGAACGCGAATGGTCAGTCGCGAACACGAAAGGCATTTTCGCCCAGTGATTTTTTAAAAACCCAAAATAGAACACTCACGAGATTTCTCAAAATTTTACAAAACCTCTTCTTCTCCAAAGCTCTTAGGCGATCCTTGAAGCAATTCTTCACCATAATCTCTTGGGTTAGTAATCTTTAACTTACTTTCTTTCATTTTCATCAACACCTATTGAATTTCTAGGCCTAAAACATGTAATTAAGGGTAGAAATTAGGGACTTGAGTAGAGTTAGGGCTTTTTGATTATTTGTAATTTAGACCTCGTTTTGGGGTCAGATTTGAAAACAAATTATATATTCGGGCTCATGGGCAAATGGGTGATCGGGTTTTGGTCCGAACCTCGTATTTTGACCAAGCGGGCCCCGGGTCGAATTTTGGGATTTTGGGAAGAATGATTGGAAAGTTATAATTAAACATTGGAATTGGATTGTTTAGCACTTATTGATGATATTGAGTCAATTATGTATAGATTCGATTGGGTTGGAGCTGAATTTGAGAGGAAAAGCGGTGTTCGAGGCTTGAGTTGGTCGTGAAAGTTCGAGGTAAGTGTTAGGTCTAACCCTAACTTGATAGATTAGGAGTTGAGTCATATTTGCTACTTGCTTCTTGTTGAGTACGACGTATAGGCATGTGACGAGTATCTATACGTTGGTGCCAAGCATGACCGTGAGTCTTAAATTGAAAGTTGTTGTGTTCTTAAATGACACTTGGGTGCTTTACTTAATGATCTTCTATGATTGAGCATTTTCAATAATTGAACTAAGTACAAGCTAAGTTGAGATTAGTTATAGCTGATTCTCCCTTGCCGGGATAATTATCTCAATATTGTTGTTCCTTTGCCGGAAAAATTATTACAATGTTGTGTTCCCTTGCCGGGAAGTCATTATATTGATTATTGTCCCTTGCCGGGATTTCTTGTAATTTTGTGATGACTTGTAAATAGGAGCGGGTGGTACGCCTACCACAAGATATTATGATGTGGGAACGGGTGTTCCCTTGTCGGGAAGTCATTATATTGATTATTCTCCCTTGCCGGGATTTCTTGTAATTTTGTGATGACTTGTAAATGGGAGCGGGTGGTACGTCTACCATAAGATATTATGATATGGGAGCGGGTCGTACGCCTATCACGAGATATTATGTAATGGGAGCGGGTGGTACACATACCACGAGATATTATGAAATGGGAGCGGGTGGTACGCCTACCACACACCACAGGATATTATAAAATGGGAGCGGGTGGTACGCCTACAATAAGATATTATGAAATGGGAGCAGGTGGTACGCCTACCACAAGATATGAGAAATGGGATCGCGTTGCACGCCTGCAGCAAGATGGAAACTGAAAGTGAAAGTTGTCTTTACTTTTCTTTATCTGTGTTAGAAGTTATATTGTTAGCTTCCTTGTTATTTCTTGTTATTTTGTTTTGTCAGCTACCCCCGAAGCATGTTCCCCTTCCCCAGCTTTAATTATTTATTACTTGTTACTTTTCTGCCATATATTATATAACTGCAAAGGTTTATCTGGAGTCTGGTTCTAGCCTCGTTACTACCTCGCCGGGGTTAGACCAGATACTTACCTGCACATGGGGTCAGTTGTGCTGATGCTACACTTTACACTTATGTGCAGATACCGGAGCAGCGTTCGAGCAGCAACATTAGCTCGGGAGCCAGCCTTCAGTCCACCTAGACCCTGAGGTAGCCTCGCAGGCGTTCGTAGGCCCGACGTCTACTCTATCCTATTTTATATTCTGTTATCTCATGTATTCGAGACAGACAATATTATCTTCTTTCAAATTGATGTATGTAGTATTCTTAGTAGTCCGTGGATGTTGTGACACCAGATTTTGGGTAGAGACATATATTGGTTTCTAGATATTTGGGTTTCATATTTATTTAAGACTTCTGCTAAATTTTATTTTCCGCTGTCATTTAAATGCCTAATCATTGATAATTTAACTGGCGAAACATGTATAAAAATGAATGAGTTAGTGGTTTCTAAGTTCATGGTTTGCCTAACTTCTACGAGTAGGCGCCATCACGACTCCCGAGAGTGGGAATTCCGGATTGTAACACTCCCCCTCTAATAAAAGGGTGAATGAGAGATTTCCGTAAGTGGCCCAATTGACGTATTATAGTGCCCCAATGCTTCAAGTTGTCCTAAAACAAATTCCATATATTAATAGGATAATCTTGTTTAATAGTAGAAGTAAGTCAAAAGATCTGTTCATTTAATTTAGAGTAGACACTTTTGGAGTGGACATATAGTGGGAAGGTACGTACTCTTTATCTATTTTGACACAAAAAATTGCTGTCTCACTAATCCCAACACGATGAATATAGCCTCTCTGTGTATGTGTATCTATCTATCTACTATGCAGAAATAAATTATTTGAGGCACACACAGTTTGAAGCACTTTCCAGCTCCTTGCATCTATCTGCGAATAGAGCCAAAAAATTGGGCATACATCCTTTTCCGAATTAATTGATATCTTCAGTTAACCTTGTTTTCGTGATGCGTACGACACTTCAATTTAATTTACTACTCCTACTAGTTTATTTTTCTTAAATAAATGTCTATTGACATTTCTTTCTTTCCATGAACAAGCAAATACTCTTTCGAATTAAAAGTTACTATATGGCCTACTTTTCATACTTTGACCATCAGCCAGGAGCATATGTAAGCATGCCGTAGCAGATGCAAACACAGTGCTTATTGCATTAGTTCGAACTATAAATATAGTTAAAATCTTTCGAAAATATATATATATATATATATTCTGCGTAACAATTATTCTACCAATTATTATAAAGGAGTAACTGTATGAGTCCAAATTTGACCGACCACGACCAACGACGAGTACGTCAAACGACAGGGTTTCTTTGAGTCAACATCTCGAGGGAGACGACCTTAAGGCAAAGAAGAAATTGTACGACTGTAATAGTGTAAGTCCATTAAGGGACATTAGGAATATTCTNGATTTCTATAGCTGAAATCGTAGTTTTCATCTAGATTCTTGAAGGAAATAATCACCTTTCTCCAACTCCATAAAAGCCAACGATGGCAGGAAAGGGTGAAGCAAGACTAAAAGCAATAGAGGGTGTCACAAATAACCTCCTGAATTCCCTCAACGAGGCCAGTGGAGAAGACAATAAAAATGCAACACCAAATGTTACATCTGAGGATGAGATTTCACCTCCTCTGCACGGGGATCTAACGACCTTGCGCGAGAGAGGAACCTCAACATCCTCAGGAGAAGCACCACCAGCAGTCAAAAGGCTAATAGAAGAATGGTTAACAAGTGCCTTAAGCAGCATGCTCGAGAAACCCATTCAGGGAGGTGTCGAAGATGCGCCACCCACAGAAGTCGTAGCTGCTGCCGATGAGCCAAGCGCTACACGAACAGGTAACACCCGCACTGTTACTGATGCAAGTGATGATTCACTTATGGCCATCTTAAAGAAAATGGAAGAGATGGAAAATGAGAACAAAACACTCCGTGACCAGATGAAGGAACATCAGGAAAGGATTCGATAAAATACCAGGCGCTCCGAAGCTGTTACCAAAACTCGATGTAGGCCGATTCGTCGAGCAACCGTATAGCGAAATGGCAGCTCCCCATTCGATTCCAAAGACCTTCAAAATGCCGCCGTATTTGAAAATATATGATGGCACCACGGACCCGGAAGATCACCTAATCCATTACGTTACCGCAGTAAAGGGTAACGATTTATCAAAAGAACAGGTGTCGCCTATATTGTTGAAAAGTTTGGCGAAACTCTGACAGGGGGAGCGCTGACATGGTATTCCCAACTACCAGCACGGTCGATATCCACGTTTGAAGAAATGGCAGACAAGTTTGTCACCGTGCACGTAGGAGTGAAAAAAGCAAAAGCTAGGGCCAATGATATCTTCGCCGTCAGGCAAACGATGGGCGAGGGACTTCGGGATTTCCTAGCCCGATTCAACAGAGTAGGGATAAGCCTACCAAAAGTGTCAAAAGGGATGGCAGTAGCAGCCTTTCAAAACGGGCTAAACAGAAATGCGTCAAAAACAACCAAAAAGCTACCTATTAGACTCATGAAGTACCCCCTACCATGTGGGAAACGATCCACAATGCTTCTTGCGCCGAAGTGAGGGCAGACGAATATGACCTGAATGGCCCGCTTCAACGATTAACATTAGTCCAGACCAAGATAAGGAGAGATCGCCACCATGATGGGTGAAGGGATCAACTACTATGCTTCAATCGAGAAAGACACCAGCCTCACATCCGAACATCCAATCCTCCACCTCCACGACATGCAGACGCCGCGCCTCGACATATTGCACCCTCCCGAAGCGAAAGAGGTATGCCTTCACTACTATCTGCTCATAATTTTCATGTTTCCCCCTCATAAATAGTGTACGCACTGGAGAAGCTCGGCACGAAGGTGCAGTGGCCGTAAAAGATGAAGTCAGAACCAAGCACAAGGAGGTAAAATGTCCTGTGTGAGTTGTGCCAGGAAAGAGGACACAAGACCGATGACTGCATAGGTATGCGACAGGAAGTAGTAAGAATGTTAAATCGGGGATACCTGAACGAACTGCTGAGCAACAGAGGACGAGCCAATTTTGCTCGAGGGCACAATCAAACTCAAAGACCTCCAAAGCCACCATCACCCTCTCGTACCATACAAATGATCATTAGCGGCGGTGACGACACGGTAATCAACCATGTCAAATTCACCACCACACATAAACTCAAACGGACAATCGCCCACAAAAAGTATGACGACCTCGAAGATAGTATCGTCTTCGATAAGTCAGATACTGATGATTTATCTTTCCCTCACTATGATGCTTTGATTATAACATTACGCATCGCAGATACCGATGTTAAAAGAATAATGGTGGATGACGAAAGTGGCGCGTGTATTGTTCATCCATGAGTTCTCATGCAAATGAGGCTCGAGGAAAAGATAATACCACGTTGCATAACACTAACGGGGTTTAATAATGCAGTAGAGCGGACATCTGGAGAAATAGTGCTACATGTCCTAGCAGGAGGGGTTACCCTGGAAATGACATTCCACGTCATGAACCAGGAAACAGCCTACAATGCCATAATAGGACGACCATGGATACACGCCATGTGAGCTGTCCCTTCAAGCTTCTATCAAGTAATCAAATTTCCCACCCCATGGGGGATATTCACCATCCAAGACGAGCCATGTACCACCCAAGAATGCTACCGGATCGCCCAAGATTGCACACACACGAAATAATTAAAAGGGGCAAGTGCGGATGCATAGCAATTAGCCATGTCGGGAACCAAACATAACATACAATTATAGGCCATCAAAGACCCAGACATCGTAGAAGATTGTATGGCAACCATAGAAGATCTCGATCCCATCCAATTGGATAACACCGACAGCACAAAAAAGGCTTATGTTGGACACAACCTCTCGGAGCCAGGTAAGTATCGTGAGTTTTTAACTAACAACACCGATTTGTTTTCTTTTTCCCACTCAGATATGCCAGGAATCCCAAGGGATATCGCCACACATAGGCTGAATGTCGATCTACTATATCCATCGGTAGGGCAATTGAGGAGAAAGTTCAGTGCCGCAATCAATGAGGCGGTCAGCGAGGAGGTTGATAAGGTTCCATCAGAGAATCGAAATACCCCCAATGGGTCGCCAATGTGGTGATGGTCAAAAAGAAGAATAGGGAATGGCGAATGTGTGTTGACTTTACCAATCTAAACAAAGCATGACCGAAGGACTCTTTTCCGTTACCTCATATCGACCAACTTATCGATGCAACAGGGGGGCATGAACTGCTAAGCTTCTTGGATACCTACTCTGGTTATAACCAAATTCTAATGGCTAAAGAAGATCAAGAAAAGACCTCTTTCATCACTTATCAAGGAACATACTGCTATAAGGTAATGTCGTTCGGGCTCAAGAACGCAGGGACCACGTATCAAAGGTTAGTCACCAAAATGTTCAAAGAACAACTCGGTAAGACCATGGAGGTTTACATCGACGATATGCCAGTGAAGTCAACAAAAAAAGAGGATTACATTGGTATCTGAAAAAGCCTTCGAGATATTAAGGCATTACGGGATGAAACTGAACCCCGAAAAGTGCGCCTTCGGCGTAACTTCAAGAAAGTTCCTTGGTTTCCTAGTGTCACAAAGGGGAATCAAGGTCAACCCGGATCAAATCATTGCCATCAATGTAATACCGGAGATACTAACGAGCAAAAAGCAGGTGCAAATATTAATAGGGCAAATAGCTGCCCTATCAAGGTTTATTTCACGATCCTCGGATAGATGCCACAAATTCTTCAATGTGCTAAGAAGGACCACAGGCTGCAATGGAATGAAGAATGCGCTGACGCCCTAAGAAAATTGAAAATGTATCTATCCTTGCCACCACTACTCATCTAAGGGGGCCCGGGCGAATGTCTACTTGTGTATTTAGCGATTTCCGAAGTTGTGGTAAGCATAGTATTAGTTTGTGATGATAAAGGTACGCAATATTCGATTTACTATATCAGCAAAACCTTAATCGATGCTGAAACAAGGTACCCTCACCTTGAAAAACTAGCTCTGGCATTGGTCGTAGCATCACGGAAGCTTAGACCATACTTTCACCCCATAAAGGTGGTGATAACCTTCTATGACGACCAGACCAGTCGTCTCATGAGTTACCGCTTCATTTTCCCCATTTTTGCTTTATTATGCTTCGTTATCCATGTTTTATATGATCGAGTTGAGTAGGTTGCGTTCGGAGTGGATTTCGTAAGAAATGAGACACTTAGTCTCTTTTGAGAAGATTCAAGTTGGAAAAGTCAACCGGATGTTGACATGTGTGTTAGAGGTCTCGGATGAGAGTTCTGATGGTTCAATTAGCTTCGGGAGGTGATTTATGGCTTAGGAGTGTGATCGGGATTGGCTTTGGAAGTCCGATGTAGAATTAGGATTGAATTGGCGAAGTTAATATTTTGGCGATTTACGGTTGTTAGGCGAGATTTCTATCCAAGGGTCAAAATGGAAATCCGAGAGTTGTTGTAGCTTCGTTATGTCATTTGTGAGGTGTGTGCAAAATTTCAGGTCATTCAGACATGGTTTGGTTGGGTTTTTGATCGAAAGCATATTTCGGAAGTTTTTAGAAAATTTAGGCTTGAATCCGATGAATTTTGGGTAATTTGATGTTGTTTGAGGTGTTTTAATGATTGAAGCAAGTTTGAATGAGGTTTTAGGATGTGTTGGTATTTTTGGTTGAGGTCCCAGGGGCCTCGAGTGAGTTTCGGATGGTCAGTCGGACCATTTTTGGCTTTGAGAAGTTGCAGAATTGGCTGATCAGATGTTGCAGGTTTTAAGCCTTCGCGATCGCGTAGGGTCCATCGCGATTGCGTAGAAGGATTTTGTGTTGGCCTGAGTTTAGTCTTCGCATTTGCGTTTGAGGTCTCGCATTCACGAAGGGCTTTGATCTTGTGCTTCGCGTTCGCATGCAGTGTTTCGCGTTCGCGTATAAGTATTTGGGGGTCTAGTGGTTTTGTTCTTCGCGTTTGCATCAGTTGGGTCGCGTTCGCACAGGTCTGGGAAATCAAGCATTGCATTCGCAGTGAAGTCATCGCGTTCGCTTAGTGTATTTTTGGAGTCGTGGAATTTTGCTCTTCGCGATCGCGGGGCTTGGGCCGCGATCATGATGAACGAATACCAGAATTGGGCAGTAAGTTTATAAAATATTTCATCCGCGATTTTGAGCCATTTTTTTCACCATAGTTGATCATTTTGAGAGCTCTTTGAGGAAGATTGAAGAGGGATTCAAGGAGAAGTGATTGGAGGTAAGATTTATGAACCTAAAACGTGATTCTATTGTGAAATTAACCTAGAAATTCATGGAACCTAAGCTAAAAATGGAAGAACTAGGGCTTGGGATTTTGAACTTTTAAATTGAGATTTGACGGACCATTTGAGGTCGGATTTGAGAACTTTTGATATGTATGAACTCGTGAGAGGATAAGGAAACCGTTGATGCAAAAAATTTTGAGTTTCGAGAAGTGGGCCCGAGGCTCGGGTTTTGCTAATTTCGGGATTTTTAATATTTTTCAATTATTTTAGCTTGGGCTTTGTTCCCTTAGCATATTGTGACGTATTTGTTCTGATTTTTAATAGATTCGATGCGCGTGGAGGCGGATTCGAGGGGCAAAGGCATCGCGAGCTAGAGTTGTAGCCGGTTCGAGATGAGTAATGATTGTAAATGATGTCCTGAGGGATTGAACCCCCGGATTGCACATAGTAGTGCTATATTGAGGTGAGATACGTGCTGGATGATGAACGTGGGGTCTTTTACTACTGGGGATTGAGACATGGTCCATCCCGACTGATGATTTTACCGCGTATTTGACTGAAACTTATTTGTTATCATCATAACTTGGGCTAATTGTCATATTTGGGCTTCGTGCCAACTATTTGAACCCTTCGGGGATTTTGACTGATTTTCCTCACTATACTTGTTAAAAATCATATCCTCGGTCATGTTTCTATCTGTTGTAAATGATTCGAGCCGGTTTTTTCATACTATTCATTAATGAGAGGAATTTGTGGGCTGAGATCCATATCTTCTATTATTGTGCCCATGAGGACGTGAGGTTAATGACTGAGAAGGATTGAGAACCCAATGGTGAGGATATTATATATGTTATGGATCGGGCTGCACGCCGCAACAATACTTATATGGACTAGGCTGCACGCCACAACAATATAGCGCTTGGGCTGTAGGAGCCCCTTCGGAGTCGGCACACCCCTAGTGAGCGCAGTCGACTATCTATATGGATCGGGCTGCACGCCGCAGTGATGTACGGATCAGGCTGCACACCGTGGAAGTTATTCTGATTTCTGTTTTTATGAGAGATATATGGGTCGAGAGCTGAGAATGAGCACTAAGTGATGAGAGTGAGCCCGAGGAGCTGATACTGTTCTGAGTGATTGACACTGTGCCCGAGGGATGGATTTCTACTTGTTATTTACCTGCTAAATTACTTGTTTTACCTGATTTAAAGAGATTTCACTTGACTTCTTCACTGATTTACTGCTTTACGTGATTTTTACTGCTTTGATATAGAATTGTTTTGTGCCTTTACATGTTTTCATGCTTTCAGCCATTATTTATAATTATTACTCACTGGGTCGGAGGACTCACATTGCTCCCTGCACTGTGTGTGCAGATTCAGGCATCGCAGAGTCCGCTCATGAGTGCTGATCTTCTAGTCGAGGCAGAGTTTCGGAGATCACAAGGTAGCTGTTGGCATCCGCATCCCCTGTGCCTCCCTTATCTTATCATTTTCATGTTCTTATAACTATTGTATCGGGTTTAGTGATTAGTAGACTCTATCAGGATTTATCTTAGTTGCTCATGGCTTATGACACCCCGGTTTGGGCTGTGTCGAGATGGCTTTTACTGTTGTTATCGTTAATTCCGCAAGTTATAGATATTATACCATGCTTTAGAACTGTTTATGATATTTAACTGTTTAAAAGAGGTGTTCTGTTTTGGTCTAGCTGGCCTTGTCTTCACGAGAGGCGCCATCACGACTGGGTTCGATAATTGGGTCGTGATAAGTTGGTATCAGAGCCTAGGTTACATTGGTCTCACGATTCATGAGCGAAATTAGTAGAGTCTCACATATCGGTACGGAGACGTCTGTATTTATCCTCAAGAGGCTGCAAAACCTTTTTAGGAAAAACTTCATATTCTTGAAATTCTTGTCGTGTGACCTTGTTGATCCGAGAACTAAACTTCTGTTACTCTATTCTCTCACATATGGTGAGGACGCGAGCTACCGAACGAGGTGGACGACCACCAGTGCCACCCATTAAGGCCAACAGAGGCCATGGACGCGGTCGTAGTTGTGGCAGAGGCAGAGCAGCGAG